CATTATTTGACATGCTACAGAAGTAGCTTCATGGTGCTTATACTTTTTTACTTGAGATACAGTATTTCTAAACTTTGACTGTATATAGATGGTCCTGTCTCAGAGTGCCAGTATAAACATGCCACAGTTTGCCCATTTTATTGATAAAAATGAAAGGCTGCCCATTTTGTGTTATAATGAACATCACTGTGTGCATACAGAAGAGCTTCTCTAAGGAGTGAAACTTCCAAGTCATGGGACATGTACATCTTCAACTTCACTACAAAGCCCCCCTCTATTCTCCTCATCAGTTGTTACAATTAACTCCCAGCCGCTAACAAAAGTCTCATCGCCAGACATCTTCACCAATAGTTTGGTAATGTCAGACCTTTTCATTTTTCCCAATCTAAATAGTACCTTGTCATTTAAATTTACATCTCCTAATTATAACTGAGATTAAGCTTCTTTTCAGGTTTATTGGCCATTTTTGTCCCCTTTTACTCTGACCTGCTTACGTTTCTGTCCTTTTTCTACTGGATAATATACCTTTTTATTATTATTCATCTACAAGTTTTTTTAAATAATTAAGATGATGCCAATGTGGAGGTGCACACGTATAATCCCAGCACTCTGGGAGGCTGAGGCAGGAAGACTGCGAGTTCTAGTCCAGCCTGGACAATTTAGCAACTTAACAAAACCATTTCTCAAAATAAAATATAAAAAAGGACTGGAGATGTAGCTCAGCACAAAAGCCCTGGGTTCAATCCTCAGTACCACAAAAAAAAAAAAATCAGGATGCTTGTCATTTGTTAGTGATATACACTGCAAATATGCTTTTCAAGTTTGCCTTGTTTGTCAATCTTTTTCTTTAGGGTTTGTGTTTAGTGTTTAAAGACACTCTTCCTTGTGCCAGTATCACAAAGATAGCCTCTTGTATTTCCTTTTAGTAGTTGTGCCTTATGCATTCAGGTCATAAAGCCACCTGAAACTGATTTTTGTGAATGTCATAAGGCCACATCTCATCTTATCTTTCTGCCATCTGGGATTGCCAAGCACTTCAATCCAGTTTCCTGGCTGGCTTTTCCTCTCCCCATGAGTCTGTAAGGCCATCTTGGTTGTACGGTAAATTCTCATATATGGACAGGTCTGCCAATACACTCTGTTCTAGCCCATTGTTTTTTTGTACCTGTCTCTCTCACCTAAGGTTTAGTGTTATATCATAATAACACTTAAAAAGCATGGTACAATTTACAAAGCATTTTCAAATCCACTAACCATTATCCAACTCAAACTTCAAAACAGCCCTGTGACTTAGGTAGTATTACTCACATTTACTCAAATGCAGACACTGAGGCTCAAAAGTTAAGTGAATTATCTGTGGTTACAAGACAGTAAGAGAAAGCACGGACCTCACCTCACACCTTCAGTTGCTACTCTTCCCACCAGACTGACAGGTAAGGATAAGAACAGTATCTCTCAAACAGCTCCCAAACAAAGCTATGAACTTCATCCACATATAATTCAAACAAACAAAAACCTCCATAAAGGAACACATGCTCTAATCCTATGGCCGCCTGGAATAAAACTCTATATGCTGCCTGCCTCAGAAGAATAAGGTCCTGAGTTCAATCCCCAGTAACAGAAAAAAGAAAAAAACTGCGGAAAGAAACCCTGCCCCGACTGCCTCCTTGCTACTGGGCACCTCAAGTTCAAAGCCAGCACTCAAAGCTGGACCATGCTGTTCTCCTATCGGACATAAACTATCTCATAGAACATCAATGTCAGACAGATGATTCTGAAACCTGGACAAAAGTCTACAAAGCCAATTTCGTAATAATTCTGTGTACACACAGACATACCCATATCAAACACTATGCCATCTACACATACCAAACTCCCTCTCTCCCTCTCTCTGCCAAACTACAATTTCCCTACCAGTTAAGTTTTTTTGCCCTGCTAGTCTCTCCTCCTTATAGTTAAGATTATTAAAATGGGCTTGTAATCCCGGCATTCTAGGAGGCTGAGGCAGGAGGATCATAACTTCAAGACCAGCCACCAATGATGAATGTAACTACTGTATACCTAAAAAGTACCAAAAAAACTTAGTGGGGAAAAAAAAAAGACCAGCCTGGGAAACTCAGCAACTAAGTGAGACCCTGTCTCAGAATTTAAAAGAATAAAAGGTTTGGGGCCGGGGATTTAGCTCAGCGGTTCGGTGGCCTGCC